TCTAGTCCTGCTGGCTACACTATTTCTGGTACAAGCCCAGATGCTGTTGGCTTTCTGGGCCACCTGGACACACTGCTGGCTCATATTCAATGCACAAATACAGGTTGGGTGGAGAATGGATTGTTAACAGCCCTGAGGAGAATGACTTAGGGGTGATGGTGGATGAGAAGCTCAGGATGGGCTGGCAATGTGAGGTTGCAGCCCAGAAAGCCAACCGTGTCCTGGGCTGTATTAAAAGAAGCGTGGCCAGCAGGTCAAGGATGGTGCTTTCCTCCCTTCTTTACTTGGCTCTTTTGAGAACCTATCTGAAGTACTGTATCCTGTTCTGGAGCCCCCAACATAAGGACAGGCAGTTGCTGGAGTGGGTTCAGAGGAGGGCCACAAAGATGATCAGTCTGAAGAAGACACGCTGAGATAGTTGGTGTTGTTCAGCATGGAGAAGAGAGGGCTCCCAAGAGATCTCATAGCAGCCTTACAGTACCTGAAGGAGGCCTACAGAAAAGCTGGGGAGAGGCTTTCTACAAGAATTTGTAGTGAGAGGACAAGGGGTAATGGATTGAAAGTTGAAGAGGGGAGATTTACATTAGACATTAGGGGAAAATTCTTTGTGTGAGAGTGGTGAGACTGGAACAGGTTGCTCAGGGAACTGTGGCTGCCCCATCCCTGGAAGTATTTAAGGTTGGATGGGGCTCTGAGAAACCTGATCTACTGGGAGATGTCCTTGCCAATGCAGGGTACGTGGATTTAGATGATCTTTAAGGTCCCTTCCAACACAAACATTTTATGATTCTATGATTCAGCCAGCTGTCAACCAACACTCCCAGGCTCTTTTCCTCTGGGCAACTTTCCAGCCACTCTTCCCCAAGCCTGAAGTGTTGCCTGGGGTTGTTGTGGCCCAAGTGCAGCTCCAAACACTTGGTGTTGTTGAATCTCATACAACTGGCCTGGGCCCATCAATCCAGCCTGTCCAGGTCCTGCTGTAGAGTCCTCCTACCTTCAGGTAGATCAACATTTCTATCTAACTTTGTGTAATCTGCAAACTTACTGAGGGTGCATCCCTTGTCCAGATCACTGTTAAAGACATTAAACAAGATGGGCCTAACACTGAGCCCTGGGGAACATCACTTCTGGCTGTCCACCAGCTGGACTTAGCTCCATTCACCACAACTCTTTGGTCCTAATTCTCTAGACAGCTTTTTACCTGGTGAAGTGTACACTGGTCTAAGCCATATCAGGCAGTTCTCCAGGAGAATGCTGTGGGAAACAGTGTTGAAAGCTTCACCAAGGTCCAGGTAGACAACATCCACAGCTTTTTCCTCATAGTATTCCCTTCTTTACTAAGCCTTCTTAGTACTAAAAATTCACTGTCATTTATTGTGCTGTTTTTGCTTTAAAGATGCCACTTTCAGAATAACTTCTCAATTGCACAAAAAAATCACAGCTTGGCTGAATCACATGCAACTGGAGCTAATATCCATAGCTGAATATCAATTAGTATGGCCCTATCAAATCTTACGGCCCTTGTGTTGCTGCAGATCACATGCTGCCACATGCATTTCAAAACAGAGGAAGAGACAAGACTGGCAATTGTTGCTAGCTGTTTAATGAGAAAAGCCATCAAAGCAGGAGATTGCTGTTTCCCAAAACAAACTTGCTGGCAAATCTCTCAACATCTGAAATTTTTTTTTATAGCTCAAATCCTTTGATGTTTATAGTTTTAAAAAAGAAGTTGTACATTATTTGTTTAGAGTTGGGTCATGGTTGTACTTAATGATCCTAAAGGTCTTTTCCAACTAGAACCACTCCGTGATTCTGTGAACAAGCTGGTCTGCTGTTGAAGAGAGTCAACCCACGCACAATGTCTGACACAAAACTGCTCATGGTGTA